TGAGGTTATTCCAGATTGTGACTTTTTACACATTTCAGGCTCACAAAGTAGAACATAGAGCATGATTAGCATTTCCTAAACTTTTTTCAGTATTTCACATCATATTTGCATATGTATAATCTGCCAAGCTCCACGTTTTTTAGGTTGGCAGGCATTATGGTGGGTTGAGAGAGGATGTATTTGCTTTAGTTTTAAACTATTTTTGTCCATACTCATTCCTTAGCCACATTGTATAGAATTCTAGCACACATATGAATGATCTCTTTCACCCTGCTTGTCGGTGAATTGGCTGTAGTAAGTGGTGAAATAGTAACTCTCCTATACTTCTATTATTATTATTATTATTATTATTATTATTATTATTATTATTATTGAGATGATACAGGGAATCAAACTCAGGACCTTACACTTGCTAGCCATGCACTGTGTCATTGAGCTATATCCCTGGCCCCTCTCCTATACTTCTGTATTGCAGTACATCTTTCAAAGTTATCTGTGGAATGTGAATATTACACAGTCAGTTCGGGCAAAAGAGGTTATTGAGTACATATCTACTGCCCTTGGTGGAGCATCCTAATTACAATGCCAGTGAGATAAATAATATATACATTTGATGAATAAAGAAACCAGCTCAAATATTAAATAACTTACCCAAGCTTAGGTAACTACATCAGTGACAGAGCTGTGTTTCAAATGTGGTACTGGCCATTATCTTCAAAACACATTTTTCCTGTTTGTTTTCTTATAATTAGAGAAATATACTTTTCTTGTGTAATAGGAACTATTCATTGATCTTTGGGAAGTATTGAATCAAACTAGTGATTCACGTAACCTCAAATCTCTAATGAACACCAAGAGTAATTTTTCAAAAGGAAAACTTAAACTTAGCTGCAGAAGTAGCTTAATGTTCATTTCTAATAGATAACATTTAAATCCTTATTTTGATGAAATAATATAAAGAGTTTATTGAAGAAAAGAGTGGTTTTTGGTAAAAAAAAAAAAAGTAAATAAAACTTTATAAAGTGTCTCTGGTATATAATATAACATTGGCTTTCGTATTTCCCTACTTTTTATTTTTGTTTTTGTTTTGGGGAACATAGGATCGTGCCATGTTGCCCAAACTGGCCTTGAACTCAGCAGTCTCCCACCTCAGCCTCTTCAGTATTTAGGACTATGGGCATGTGCCACTCTGCCCAGCTACTTTAAAAATTAGGTTGTTCAAACTTTTCGCTAAACTCACAAAAGGAGGTAGGTATCTTTTCAAACAACAGAGAATAGCATACATGTTAGGTTGTGTTTCACTTCATTGTTTCCTTAGGTTGCTTTTATGCATTGTTAATTAGGTGAGAAAATAAGTTATATTGTAAAATTTGTAGATGACATGAAGCTGAAAACTATAAAGAGGCTGATTGATAGATTGAAATCCAGTCTGTAGAAACTAGCAATGGATCAGAACTAGAAATTGAATCAAAAACTTTAAGGCTTTACTCCTGGGTCCTAAGTGTAATAACAGGTACAGTATAGAGAAAGGATGCAGGGCTTAGTTGTAGCGAGTAAATAAGAGGGATTTAAATCAACACCTTAGTATGAGTCAGCAATGTGCTATGCACATACCAAAAGTAATACAGATTGAACTGCATTAATATATTTATTATCTAGGACAAAGGAGCCAAAATGACCTGTATTCTGCATTGGTTGTGCAGGGGTTGGAATATTAGTTAATTGCCTATAATTCTATTTACTACTCTTCAAGATGAATTAATGTGTGCTCAGAAGGGAAAAAAGCAATGAGACTCATCCATCTCAAGTTACCTAGGAAAGACCAGATGCAGAGTGATGTATGATGATATGGATTTAGTATTCGTGACTTTGCAGACAGCCTACAGGCAAGTTAGTCTTCACTTATTTGTAATCTATTTAAAGGGAATTTGTGGCTGAGGAAGGTTACTATATAGTGAACAATTTTTTCTAGTAGGCAGTGTTTTTTCTGAGATAATCAGTACATCACTTGGTGAACCTACATGCTTATCCTGATGGTGTTCATATATAGGCAGCAACAGAGTAGAAAAACTTCAAATATATGATGTATAGGTGGAACAGATTTTTGAGATCCCTTACCAGTCCTAATTTTTTAAGTTCTAACATCAAAATAGCTTAATGGAATGTTTTTTATCTTCATAAATCTAGCTCAAGATGGAATATTTTTTAATCTTCATAAATCTAGCTCACCTTAATAATAGTAGTTTCCATTAGTATAACTCTTTACAGTTTATAAAGTGAGTTATCTCAGTTTTGAGCCAAATAACCCTTTGGGTACATAGGGCAAGCATTCCCATTTTGAACAGATAAAGTAATAGACTGAGAGTCTGAATTGCCCCAACTTATAAAACTTATAAGTAGCAGATCTGTGGCTCTATGTCTGGTCTACCCATTCCAAGTTCAGTGCTGTTTCTGTTGTACTAGTTTGCTTTAAAAATAAGTTGCAAGTTATGATACTTGTTTTGCATACATGGAAAATTGCAAGGAACAGATGGTTTTCAAATTATATTCTCATGGATAATATAAGTATAGCTTAAGTTAGACAAGAGTTCTAAGAGCCAGATAATGGGGAGTCATTGAGCAGATCTGTATTACAGAAATACAACTGCCTATCATTAATGAAAAAACAGAGTCTCGGGTACTAGGTGGATGATTGTGCTATTCACTGACATAGCAAATATAGAAGAAGTAGCAAGTTGATGGGCCACAAGTGAGGTAATTGAATTTTAGACATAATAAAAATAACATTGAGTACCAGCTACTGTGCTTAGAGTTGTGTCATTTATTACATTTAGTCTTCTCAAAAACACTGAACATAAGTCTGTTTAAGTCTTCATTTTCCAAATAAATAAAGCTTAGTCTTAACCTATCAGGGCTTTATAACTAACAATGCAAGAACAAGATTTTGAACCTACATTTTTTTACTTCAGAGCCAGTATTCCTCATAGCTAGTATAAAATTTCTTTTGCGTGTTTTGATAATCAGTAGTCAGTAGAATAAATAAAATGGTTGTAGCTTTTAGGAAAAAGTAGTGTCCTGAAGATAGTTGAGTGTCCTTAGCATGGAAGTGGGCAATATGTAACTCTGAAAGTTGTAGGAAAATAATTTTATGCCTGCTTTCTCCTTTTTCCTGCATTTTGGCACCATTTTTGTGCTTTGCAGTATATTGTATAGACATTCCCTAACCTAAGAACATCCTCCAGGAGTGAGTGAAAATGAAAGATGCCCTTTGTATAGGGAAGTAAACCTTCTAGGATGAAGGACATATTTTATTTACCTTTTATCTCCGGATTAGCACCTAGAACAGAGCATGAGTGATATGGAACGAATGAATGAATGAATGGTAAATAGGAATGGGAAGAAGAAAGAGGAGAGTTCCAATTCAGAGAAGCTGCCTCATGTGATGTATTGGGTGACGGGTGGTCTGCCTTTTACTTCCAGTTTATAATGCTCCAGTGATGGCTAGCTTAGACCCTTCTACACTTGTTGAAATAAACAATAGTCAAAGTTATACTTCTTTTAGCCAGTGAGGGAATGAGAGAAAACTCTCTGTATTCCAGAACTCTTTTTTTTTTTAACTACACATATAATGCATATTCATTTTAGGCACATTACAGTATTCCAATAAGAAAAAACAATTTAAATTGTCTAAAATTCTACTACCCAGAGATACCCACTGTTAACATTTTGGTGTATATCCTTCCAGAGTTTTTCCCATACAAATATATACATTTAAACATGTATATATTTGTTTGAAATGGGACCATTACAATCCATATTGTTTTGTAAACTGCTTTTTCACTTATTAAATGTGACTGTCTTTCCATGTCAATAAACTTACATCTTTATCATCATTTTAATGATTGCGTAATATTCCATTATATGGATGTACCACAGTATATTTAACTAGTTTTCTATTGTTAGGAATCTAGGTTTCCAATTTTGCATTCTTAGAAAAAATGGTGAGCATTTTTGTTGTACACTTGTCCACTTTAAAAAAAAAACATAGATGGGACATTTCAAAATTTTGTGTTTTTTAAGACTCAGATTGCCTTTCTGAAGGGTTGTGCTGATTTACACCTTTTCCAGCAATAAAGCCAGAATGCTCTTTTTTCATGTCCACATGAGCATTGAGTGTTATTTTTTGGTAAACCATTACCGATTTGAGAGACAAAATGTATCTTTGGGTTAAATGCATTTCTGTAATTAGTACTAAGGCTGAATTCCTCCCTTATTGCTCATTTCTGTTGAGATTCCTTTTTTTTCTTACAGGTTTGCAAAGCTAAGCTCTTTATGTACCAAGAATTCCAACCCTTTGTCATATGTTACTTAATTTTTTGTAATCAGTTTGTCTTTTATCTTTTTTTGTGTCTGGTAGAAGTTTTAAATTTCATGGATTCCAATGTCATTTTTCTCTTTATGATTTCTACCCTGCTTTCCCCATGATTATTATTTACCTGTATTCTAATACTTACATAATTTATTTTTGACATTTAAATGTTTATCCATCTGGACTTTACTTTGCTATAAGAGATTGAGCTTTATTTTCTCTGAAATAATTAATCAGTTTCTCTGATTAATTATTACTAGAGTTCAGTTTAGAATATGTTTTTCCATACAGAATGTTATAAATGATGTTTGGTGAGGATTAACTAAGACCACTTGTAATGCATTTAACTAAAATAAACTCAAGAGCTCACCTGGAAAGGTACTCATCATTTCTTACATTATTTCCATGGAAAAATGTTTTATAGTTTCAAATAACTAACCTGTTACAGATGAACTTTTGAAGCACAACCTGTTACAATTTTTAAACTGCACTCATTTCTGCTTCACTAGAGCAGAAATGAAAGTTTAGAAGTGAAAATATTCCTGAATGACACACTTTTTTTTGTCTGCCTTCATTTGATTTTGATGTGATATGTGTTTTGGTAACTTTCTATTTGCTGTGCTTTTCACAGAATGGACAGCAAATTATGGATGAACCTATGGGAGAGGAAGAGATTAATCCACAAACTGTAAGTAAAACATATCACAAAGTAGAGACAAATCAGATACCATAAAATTACTACATTTTTAAATTGGGCAATCATTTTCTAGTATTAAGATTGCATTGATACCCTCACATTAATTTTACTAAAATATATTCTTGAACACGCCAGCGACCTTTCTAAAAACTGATGAAGACTGATTTTAAGAGAATGACAAAGCAAGATGCTTTGTATTGTTGAAGGTTTTCATTCGTGTGTTATGGCTTGATTTTTTAAAAAATTAACTGACTAAATTTATTAAACACAAAAAATATATGAAGATTATACTTTATAGAAATACTAGTATTTAGAATGTAGCCATTACCCATTCCCTCATGCATTTTGTTGTTATAGTAATTGTTCACTCCTGACCAATACCTGTCACACTAAGAGATACTCATCATATATTACATAAATGGAGTAATAAATTATTACCCCTCACAAGATATCCATTGTCAGAAGCTTAGCTATAATCTTATTATATACATAGAATAATTATTATTTACATTTATAAAGTACATGTTCTGCACTTCGTCTTTTTCATTTAATGCCTTGAGCATTTTATATGTAGATGAAATATATATATACTATAGATCTCTTGTTAAAATGTGTACATGCTAATGTTCTATGCATATCCTATATTTAATATAATTTCCCCCATTTGTGAATTTACATCTTAGTAGAATGTAGTCTTAGAACAGGATGTGTTGGAACAAAATGTATGAATGAACGTTGAACATTGAAATCTCAGGAGACATCACCAAATTACCTTGCAAAAGGAATATAATAAAACTTTCAGTGTATCAGACTTATCAGTTCAACTGTTTCCTACTCAGCACTGGACATTATAAGGAAACACTGAGCTACTCTAAATAAGTATTTCCTTCTCATTTTAATTTGCCTATCGTTTGATTGTTAGTGAGGTTAAGTATCCACACATTATTGGCCTTTATATTTTATAGTCTACCCAGTTTTCTTTTGGGTTGCTTCATTTTTTGGGGGGTTGCTTCTTGACTCAATATTTTATAGAATCTTTAAATATATTCTGGATATTAACTCTACGTCTAGTACATATCTTGCAAATATATTACCCTTCTTCCCAACATTGAATTTTTTCTTTCATTTTGTATGTGTAGAAGTTTTTATTTTAAAATGGTCATATTTGGCTTCTTGGCTTCATGCGTTGGTTAAAATGTCCTAACCTGCTCCAAGGTTACAAAATATTTATTTTCTTACATTTTCACCTATTTTTTGTTTTTCTTCTGACTTGTTTGTTGCTATGATTTTTCTTCTTTTTGCATTTTTATTTTGCATTGTGATCCACTAGGAATTTTAGTATCTGGTATGACGTAGATATCTAACTTTACTTTCCAAATATGTAGCCTGTTGTCCTAACCCCTATTTATTGAGTATGTAAAAATCTGTTCTTCTCCATTCGTTTGAGATACCTCTTTTATCATATTTAAAATTACCTTCTGGGGGCTGGTGAGATGACTCAGTGGTCTAAAGCACCTACCTAGAACAAGCTAAGCTAAGCAAAGCAAAGCACAGGGACCGCGGTTCAATCCCCCAGCACCACATGCCAGCGAGCCCCGCCCCCTGGTGGGCTGAGCTGGCCACACACACACACACACACACACACACACTAAATAAATAAATAAAAATGAAAAAATAATAAATAAAAAAAATAAAATTACCTTCTGCTTCCTATATAAGTTTCCTAGGATTCTTATAGCAAATTACCACAACCTGGATGGCTTAAAACAAAAGAAATAGATTCACTCACTGTTTTGGAAGCCTGTAGTATTAAATCAGGGTTTCAACAGAGCCATACTCTCTCACTTCTAGGAGAGGATCCTTCTTTACCTATTCTAGCTTCTGAATATTCTGGTTATATATTTTTATATGAATGAAGATAAATCTTCCCACCTTTTTACTTTTAAAAAAAGTCCCACTTTTTTAGTTTTAAAAATTATAATTTATGGCACTTAATTCTTCAGATTAAACTTAACAGATGTCAGTTATCCTCTGAAAACTGTATTGAAACTTTCATCACAGTTGCACTGAAGTTACAGATTAACATGAAAGCAATATTTTAATAATGAGTCGTCATATTCTGAAATATTCAGTTATTCTCATAATCTGTTTGTTGTCAAAATTATATGGCTACTTACATATACTTCTTCTACATTTCTTGTTAGGATAATTCATTGCCACTTTGGAAGCCTGAGACCAAAGGATTATAATTTCATGTGCAGTCTGGGCAATTCAATGACTTAGTGAAACCCTGTCTCAAAATAAAATAATAAGAAGCACTGGGAATATAGTGTTTTTCCAAAATCAAATAAATTGTCATGAACATTATGTCCATTCTGCTTCAAATTCCTTCAATAGTTTTGTGCTTCCTTTAAGTAAAGTCTAAATTCTGCAGCATAACCTACTGAGCCCTGCATAATAAGGCTTCATACACTTTTCTCTGACCACACACCTCTGTCCTCTATTGAAAGTCTGCTTAGATGCATCACTTTCTCTTTAGTTTCTGGGCTTTCACAAGTGATGTTTCCTCCTGCGTAATTCTTTTCCCTTACAACTCCCCTCCATGTTAATCCCTAATCATCCTTCAGGTCTAAGTTTAGATGTCATTTCAACTGAGACATCTTCTTAACACACAACTATACTTCCATCTTGAGATGGACAGCACCATGCCAAATCCTGTTACTTATTTACTGATCTGTATTCTCTATTAAACTGAACTGTTCCTCCTTTTATGTTGTTCATTATGTATTTGTTAATTAAATTCATAGATTAAATTTTAGCTAGCATAGGGACCCAGGCATGGGTTCTAGTGCCTACGACTGCCTTCAAATTTCATCTAGATTCCTATACTGTCACAAACCATTTGAGGCATTTTACTTCTTTGGTGTATAGTATATATTTGCATGTAAAAGATGTAAAAAAAATGACCAGTAAATATAAATATTGATTTTCCTGTCACCTTTTTTCTTTGTGTAATAATTCCTTTAGAAAGGAAAACTCCAAATTCTATTCATTGTAAGCTGAAATTAAATGGTTTTCCAAGTGGTGTTCTTTGTCCTTTCTGTTACAACTTTGGGAGCACTTACATTTGAGAAAAAACTACATTCTAGAGACAGGTTGAAAAAATGAAGGACTAAGATATTACCAGCAATATGAGTTTTTTGAACAGATCATTCCAGATTTTATAAATTAAGTTTCAGTATCAAAAGATTGTTTCAAATCTAAAAGATTGTTAAAACTTATATTGGCCTCATACTTTAAATCGCACTTAACTTTCTCTTCTGTTGGTGGTTGTTGTTTTAAGACAAGGTTTCACTATGTAGTTCAGGCTGGTCTTGAACTCACTTTGAAGCCCAAGCTGGTCTTGATTTTAGGTGACCCTCCTGCTTCAGCCTTCCAAGTGCCAGGATACCATGCCACCACATCTAGCTAATTGTACTTCCCTTTAATATTCAATTAAAAATCTTTCTTTTGTCAGCTACTAATAATTTACATGATGAAAGTTGAAATGATGGGGCCGGGGAGATGGCTCAGTGGAATAAGTGCTTCCCTGGCAAGCACAGGGACCTGAGTTCAATCCCTGGTTCCTCAAAAAAAAAAAAAAGAAAGAAAAAAAATGTTGAAATGTTATATTAGTTATCTATTTGATATAAGTTACCCCAAACTTAGTGATTTAAATGGCATGTATTTTTAATTTCATAGTTTCAATGGGCCAAAAACCTGAGAACAGCATAGTTGGATCTGTTGTTTCATAGACTCTCAGACTGAATTCAAGGTACTGGTCAGGTTTAGAGCCTCATCTGAAACTTCACTGGAAAAGGATCTTCTAAGATCATGTAGTTGTTGGCCCAGATTTATTTACTGAATAGATGTGTCTATGGAATTTGCCAGCTAGTAAGCTTACTTGTAGGTTGAGTGGCCATTTTTTCATGATCTAGAATGCAGAGAATAATGATAAGGCAGTTTTGACTAAGACAACAGTAGAAAGGATAGAGGAAAACAAGAATGAATATGAGTTCCTTAATGATTTAATGTTCTAGTAAAACTTCTTTATCCTAAACTACCCTCTTATCTACTTCTCTGTAAAAAAAAATACAGGAATGTTCCTAGTCATTGATTAAACAAGTATTTAATGTCTTCTAGGTCCCAAGTACTCTGCTAATTCGTTAGAGACACATGTAAGGGACACTTGCAGTTTTATTTATTTCCTCCCCTCCCAAATTTGTGGTTTTTATTTTATTTTTATTTTTAATGTATTTAGTACATGGTCTTACTACACAGATGGGACTCATAATGATCCTCCTATTTTCAGCCTCCCAAGTGCTAGGATTACAGCTGTGCACTACCACACCCAGTCTCCCAACTTGTAGTTTTTAAACAGCAAGATAAAACTGTTTTGGTCCTCTTCCTTCTTGGGAAATTATCACCTGAAACAATGTGAACAATAAGAAAATAGAACCTTGGTCTTTGAAGTCAACAGACTTGTATAATTTGAACCACAAGATATAATATGAAAAGCAGATGGGAGAATGCTAATAAGAGGAAGTTAAAGAACCAGTCATGTTGTTTAGACCCTATATCAAAAATAAACAGGACTGGGGATGTAACTCAGTAGTAGAGCACCCCTAGGTTTAATCCCCAGTCCTACAAAAAAACAACAAAAACCAAGAAAACTATAGGCATTAAGTGATTTTTTAAAATTATCCTAGGGCCAACCAAATAGCTCAGTGGATTCAAACGCCTGCGTGGCCAGATTGAATCACTGGCCTGCCATGCCAGCCCCGCCCCTCGGGCGAACTGAGAAGGTGATTGAGACTGGGTGTGGTGGCATGCACCTGTAATCACAGCACTTGAGAGGCTGAAAACAGGAGGATCACTGTGAGTCTGATCTACTTAATGAGAACCTATAGACCCTGTCCTAAATACAGGAAAAAAATCGTGTTCTTAGATTA